CGAAGATAAAGTTATGGAGATGGCTGACAAAGACCTCAAGCAACTAGGTCTTCCCACTCCTGAAAGAAATCTCGGTGATCGATTGAGCAGAGAAATGCTCAGAGAAACAAGCTACGACGTGAACGAGTTGGATAAATATGTGTCAGCAAATGAGCCACTGCTGGTGATAGAGCAGAGATCTGCTTACAGTGCCATCTTGGACCTGATGAATAGAAAAACTGGTGGAATACTTTTTCTTGACGCACCAGGTGAAACAGGAAAGACATTTATCATCAACTTGCTCTTAGCTAAAATCGACAACAATCGAAAATTGCAATTGCAACGGTCTCTCTTGGAATTGCTGCCACATTTCTTCACGGTGGTTGTACTGCTCACTCAACCCTCAAGCTGCCTCTTAATCTTTCACATTCTGAAAGTCCTCTCTGCAACATCAGCAAAGGAATAGGACAAACCAAGATTCTGCAAGAGTGTGAAGTTATTGTGTGGGATGAGTGCATAATGTCCCACAAACACCCATTGGAGGCTCTGGATCGAACTCTTCAAGATCTTCGCGGCAATGGAAAACTTATAGGTGGAGTTGCTGTACTCCTAGCAGGTGATTTTCATCAAACGCTGTCTATTATTCCAAATGGAACAATGGCCGATGAACTTAAAGCTTGCTTGAAAGCTTCATACCTCTGTAGACATGTTCACAAACTGGGACTCAAAAGTAACATGCGAGTTCACTTGCAACGTGATGTGTCTGCTGACCATTTCGCTCAGCAACTGCTCACTCTTGGTGATGGAAAAGTACTAGTTGACCTGACCAGCGAACTCATCAGCATTCCCAACAACTTTTGCAACGTAGTAGAGTCAATTTAAGTACTGAAAATCAGTGTGTTCCCAAATATCCGGCACCATTTCAACGATCAGAAATGGCTTTGTGAACGTGCTATTCTTGCTCCTAAAAATAACAGTGTGAATGCCATCAACTTACAGATTCAGCAACAGCTGCCTGGAGAAGCTACATCATACAAGTCGGTCGACACAGTTGTGGATGTCAACGAGGCGGTTCAGTATCCCACGGAATTTCTCAATTCTCTCGAGCCTCCTGGAATGCCGCCACATAACTTGCTGCTCCAAATTGATTCTTCCATTATGCTCCTGAGAAACCTGGAGCATAATGACTATGCTCTGGCACAAGGCTGTGTAAAAAGTGTGATGCCTCATGTTATTCAAGTAACAATCTTGACAGGGTGCGCAAATGGTGAAGATTTATTCGTACCACGAATACCCATCATTTCTACTAGCATGCCCTTTGAATTCAAGCATATGCACTTTCCAGTATGTCTTGTCTTTGCGATGCCCATTAATAAAGCTCAATGACAGTCACTTAAGGTTGCTGGTATTAACCTAGAAACTCCTTGCTTTTCTCATGCTCAACTTTACGTAGCGTGTTCAAAAGTTGGAACTGAAAAGAATTTGTATGCCTTTGCCCCTAATGCCAAAACTAAAAACATTGTTTATCAAACAGCTTTGTAATAAAAATTGTATTTCATTGGACATAGTCATTTTTTAATAAAACAAGCCGATCAAACAAAAAAATATCGAAAAGGATAAAAATATTTTTAAAAAGTCTAAAATGACGAAAAAAAAAAGTTCAAAAGGGAAAGTAATCCGAGCGCATTTTGCGATATCCAAGTTCGATAACTGATAGGAGATCATAACGAAATCTTTTTCTAATATGTCAAGTATGTAATATCAAATTTTTCCGAGCAACGCCGGTTACTTCAGCTAGTTATCAATAAGAAAAAAACTCACGCTTTTCATCATTCATATTTGTTTTAGTCGAAATTGAATCGTCAATGCTAGATTGTATTGATGGTGCATTTTTGATTAAGCCC